TTTCCCCTTTGATTCTTATCATTTGATATCAGAGTCTACGTTTAGATTTTTTTCTAAAAATCAAGTCTTGATTTAAAAAAAAAAAGAGTCCAAAAATTGTCCATAAAAAATCTTGTTTCTTTTTTTCAAATCTCGTTCAATTTGGAGTTGTTGAAGTGAAGTTCACATTGAAGGATAATAATTATTGAGAATTTTTCTTTGAGTTGAAGGAAAGAAAATTCTAAAATTTAAGTATATTCCGAGTTGATTTGAATATATTGAGATTTAGTCTGTATTCTTGGTGTTCTTATCAAAATTTTAAAAAATCCATATGGACTGCCATATCAGCAGTCAATAGAGTCAACTGCCAACACAACAGTCACGTCAACGACAACTCAGCTGTGAATGCCACATACAGAGGTACAACTCTCACATGCAGCGCATGGGTACAACTTCAGAGAGCAGGGTTTTAGTTTCAACCTTAAATTTTGACAGAATATGAGAGTTTTTTGGCCATAAATTTTTTTGTAAGTGTCCAAGTTCACTTCTTCTTCTTATAAACTCATTTTTCATTTATTTTCAATTATTTAATAATTGGTTAACATCTTAGTTACTTGTTAACTAGTTTTTGATCATCAAATCATTTCTTTGATCCTTCAAATTAAGTAACAACAAATAATTCTTTTACTTAGTTTGTTTTGAGTCCGAATCATTTGGTGCTTCTTTCTTCTACTCTTCTCATCTTAATTTATTGATAAACTTCTTGGTTCAAGTCCGTTAGTTTTTATTTGGGTCATCCTTCTTTCAAGAGTCAAAAGAATCTACTCCATCACAAAGGATATGTGTCCTTGAATAGTTCACTATTATTTTGAGATGATGTCATAGTAGGTGAGTTAAGAGTTCAAATAAGGAGTGACATGAGTATTTTGCTACTAACTTGTTTGTTAAGTTTTTTAGGTATAATGAAAGGATCATTATCATTTTGTGATCGAGATCCTCGTACTATGAGCACAAATGAGTTGTTTGCTTCAATACAATGATGTATTGAAAAGGTCATTCAATTAGTCACTAAGATGGCACCCGATGAATTGGAAAGACTATTTATGGGTACTACTCATCGTGATGAAGAACCTGAGGAGTTGCACAGCCAAGGTGAGGATACTTCATGTTATGAGATACAAGGTAACAATGTTATTTATTGCACCTCCTTAAGCTTAAAAATTCATTGCGATATCTTGATTTCGCGTGATATTAATGATTCTTTGTCACATAGTGATAATGTATATGTTGAAAGTGCTCATACGCTAATGGATCTTATTAATGACCGAACAAATTCTTTTTGTAAGATCAATTTGTGTTCACCTAGTGTTCACATTTATGTTTTGAGTGACATTACATTTTTATGTATTTCTTTGTCATGTTATGATAATGTACATGTTGAGAATGTGGATACACTAGTTTATCCCATTTATGAAAAAATTGATTCTTCTAGTATAGTCTTTTTGTGTCTACCTAGTGCTGATAAATATGTTTTAAATAATAGTTCATTATCAAAAGATATAAGTGTTGATCAACTTGTGTGTAATAATCCCTTGTTTAATGTTGACATTACTAATGATGGTGAAATTCATAGTGATGTGTTTTGGCATGATAGAAGTGTATTTCCTCTTAAAGGCTACCCAGTGATCGAGAATCCACTATGGTATAATCACACACTTTCCTAAGATGGAACTCTATTCTTGAAGGATGATAATAATTCTGTTGGGGTTAGTGGTCAAACAGAAGAGGGTGTATATTCTCCAATGAGCCCTTCATTCTGGTGTTATCCTATTCTTGATCAAAGCCTTAATACTTGTGGATCAAAGGTTGATTCTATATGTGGGAATACGTTGCATGAAGTTTATTTATGTAGAACATTTCTTTATTACTTGTTTGCATATGATGATGCTCATGCTTTTGAGTGGAGAATGTTATTGGAAGATAAGAGTGTAAACTAGTTAAAAAAGGGTGTATTTGATCCATGCGTATCGATTTCTTTTCCATTTGACCCCGATAATGCGTTAAATTGTTGTATTTGTGTAGTGATGCTTCCTCAAGATGACAACCACAATTTGGAGGAATTTGTTGGCACCTATCCATATGATGGAAAGTTCTTTTTGAGGGTTTACAATCCACTTAAGGGGCCTATGTTGTGCATGGGGAAGGATATTTTTCTAACCCCCTTTCTTTACTTTGTGTATGATCTTGTTAATTGTGCATCTTTTGGGGATAAGATTTATTTTTCAGAGAAGTGGAAGTTCATAAATTTGTCATGTTGTCAATGCGTGTTCCATCTTGTGATGTAACAAGTGCTTGGATCCTTGAACCTAGTTGTGATCTTGGATATCGGAACACCTTAGATGACCCCAATGTACATGACACATTTCTCTACTATCTCTATGCATAAGATGACTCTCATATTTGTCTTAAATGTGCATTGCGTTTGGGGTGTGGTATCATTGAGGTTTATATTTGTTTTTATGACCTCATTATGTAAACTTATTATCATTTTGACCCCGGTGAGCGTTTGGAAGTATTTGTGCTTATAGTAGTGTCATATTTTTGGTGGTATTATCATTTGATGTGAGGAATATCAAATTTCCTTGTTCTCCATCTATTGGCTTAATAGCCATGATAATAGAGGATAGTTGGTTGTTCTTTGTGATTGAATTTCCTTTGTGTAATGTTTTTATGCTAACAATTGTACTAACCAACATGCTATGGGGATATGTTTGTTATTTGTCCTTTTTATGATTTTGCAAGGTTTGGATTTGATGATGAATTATTTTCACGAAGGGGAGGATAAAAACGACAAGGATAGCATGGATCACATGAAAACTTTAGAGGAACTTGATTGACACAAAATAAATACATACAATATGTGGAAGCTAAGGTCCATCAAAGTGAACGGAAAGAAGAAAGAGGTCATTTGAGCAAATTATCATCTCTTAAATTTAAGAATTCACAAAAGAAGACAACCAAACAAGACCCTTATCTCATCAAGGGTAAAATTGTCAAAGAAGTGTCTTCTTTATTTTCTTAGTATAAAATATAAATATTAGTCTTTTTTTCATTTTGGAATACAAATATGTTGAATATTGAAATTGAATATTCTCAAATTGTAGTTGTTTAATTTAGTGTTTAGTTAAATTTCCTTAAGGAATTAGTGGTTAACTCTTAGAATTAATTGTTAACTCCTTTGCTTGATTAATTAAAGTATTTCCCATTCGTGGTCATCTTTTGGTTGTCTTCGATTCTTGTGTAAGGTTGATTTTAGGTGTTGAAGTCAATTGGGAGGTAATGGTTTTAGTCCCTTGTTGCCCATAATTTCAGTTTCTTAATTATAATCCACATATGTTTTCTTTCTATTAATTCCCTTTGATTATAACAACTCGCTAGTGATGTTATTTGCTTTGGGCCTAGACATGCACAAATTTAAAATTTATCAGTAGTTGGTAAGACCTGCTTACTTATATATTCAACATCTCTTTTGTGTGTTGCTGATGTGGGATTTGTATCTTAAGATGGGGTGTCACACACACACCCTCTATGGACTCAGCGTCCTCGCTGCGGTTTGCCCATCGAATGGGATTTGCCTAGACTCAGCATGGAGGTTCCCAACTTACTGAATTTTCCTAAACTCAATTGAACTTTGGCCCACATCAGCTAGGTTGTCATATGAGTGACTCTGATACCATTTGTAAAGGCCCAACACGCTAGTGATATTGTCTGCTTTGAGCCTATGCCTGCACAAATTTAAAAGATGTCACTAGTTGGCAAGACTTGCTTACTTATATATCCAACATCTCTCCTGTGTTTTGTCGATGTGGGATTTATTATCCTAAGTTGCGGTGTCATGATAAATGACAATAACGTCTAAGAATACCGCCATAAATTCATCAAGATACTCAAACAATATGTCATTCATTAAGTTATAAAAGGTAGTCGGGGCATTGTTAATCCCAAACGTCATCACAAGGAACTCATACAATCTATATCTAGTTATAGATGTTGTCTTAGGCTCATCGCCATCTACTATCCTAACCTATACCCTGCCCTAAGATCTAACTTAGTAAACAACATGCCTTCCTCTACCTATCCATCCTATCCAACACCAAGGGAATCAAATATTTGTTCTTCATTATTGTCTTGTTCAAAGCCCTGTAGTCCACACACATACTCAGTGTCCCATCCTGCTTCTTTTGGAACAAAACAAGTGCACTATAGGGAGACTTAGAAGGATGAATCATACCATCATCTAACAACTTGTTCAACTATTTACGCAACTCATACAACTCCTTTGGAGCCTATGCAACAAAAATTGAACCTAAAAGCAACTCAATCTTATGATCAATGTCCCTCCTCGGTGGCAGTTTCTTAGGCAACTCCGGTGGTATCAGATCAACAAACTGTTTCAGCACTTTTGCCACACAATCAGGCACTTCACCTTTGACATCAGGTCTTATTGTAACAAAGGCAGCAAGAAAGGTTGTTTCTCCCTTCCTCAAGCCTTTGTCAATAACAATAGCACCCCTAAACTTTGCAACTTTCCCCCCTTCTCTGTATGAATGAACAACTTTTATGAAACTTGGATTGCCTTCATTCATGATCATCATCCATCAAGATGAGGCAAAGGAATAAATATAACCTTCCTTCAGAAGTCAGTCCCAAGTATGATCTCAAATCTCCAAGTGGAATCACCATTAAGTTGTGTTTTCCCATCCAATAACATCACCATTAGTTCATTATATATCAATTTCTCTCTCCCCCCCCCCCCCTCCTCAATGAGTTTTATGTCCGTGATAGCAGTTTGATATTTCACTATCGATCTGTAATGTGCTTTGTCCTTTGATCTATCATCAAAACAACATCGTATTTCTTTTATAAAAAACTCAAGTAGGTTGTTCCCTATCTATTGCACAATGGATACACAATGAGTGTTCAAGAAACAAGATGAGATGAAATACCACAAAGAGAGAGTGTATCCAATAAAATGTTATTTGGTAACTTTCTTATATAAAAAAAATTTGTATGTTCAGATTATTTCAACAACAAAAAAAAATCTATACAAAGGAACCATAATCATGTCTTGTCTTATTTGAAAATCCAAATTCAATTGGAATACAAATATGAATGAACAAATAAGTTGAAGATTTGAGTTAGTATGTTCCTCCCGCGGGCTAATTTTCCGTGTGGAGTCGAGGAGGTCTGTCACTTCATTTGTTTGGAATGTTTCTTAGTTAGGCACAGAAATTGGTGTCCGGGGACTCGGTAGTCCCATATGTGCAATCCTAGGTGATAGCCTAATGTTTGGGCTTGGCCTTGGTGAGGGGATTGGACTAGAGAAGTTGAAATCTCCATTGACCACCCGAGGCGACAAATTAACTTGTTCAAGTGCTCGGAATTGTAGTTCTGTAGGGTAATCCCTAACACAGCCAATACGAGGTCCAGTTCCACTTGTCCATTTGCTTGACAAATGTTTGGAGAAGCTAAATGTTTGTGCTTTCTTATTGATGATGACATCCTCTGGTTTCTTGGATTCTGATGTGTTTCTTTCTTCAGATTCTTTAGCAATTGAAAGATCAACAGATGGTTGGCTGTTTGATGCCTCTGAGAGATTGTCGTCATCAACTGCACATCTCTGTATAAGAAAATAAATCATGTATATGACTGTTAGCAATGTTGTTGAACGTAACACCATATATATATAGTACGTCAATGATTTCAACATTTACGTACCTTAACATTTGTAAGATCAACTTTGTGTTCTTCAAGAAAGCTTATGAACTCCTTGAAGTTCTCTTCAGTTGGGTGATAGTGACCACTGTATGGCCAAATAGCCTGCAGAAGACAACATATACATAGACAATATAAGTATATTTGTTCTTGTTACGGATCTGTTTGTTGTATCTATGGATAGTGTTGGATAGTTACCTCCAGAATTCCAGAATGAGCAACTAGTCTTCCAGCTGCTGTGATAGCACCACCTGATAGGAAACTCGAATGTTGAAATGTGCCCTTTTGCTTCTGTCCTACATACAATGTCCTTGTTGTGCTAAGAACAAATATCGACTTGGAACCCTCTACTGACTTAACTGATACACCACTTTGTTTATATACAAGCTTCCCATTCTCAATGACTACTTCATATGATTCCCGCTCCTTCTGAAATTGTAAAGCATAAGCAATTAAGTCAAAAAGAAGTTTAAACACATGTAATTGAATGATCCAAAGACATCTGGTAAATTAAGTTTCATAAGAACTTACTGGTCCGAGATACTTGATGCATTGATGGTGCAATTTTGTCCTTGGACATTTCTCGAGGTTTATTTCTTTCCCATCTCCAACGTCCAACCTTAATAGCCAAAAAAAGGGAAACTGATCAGATCAAGAGAACATTTCTCATTGGAACACTACAAATTCAAAACATTTAGTATGTAATATTCGCGATGAACTACTCACCAGTAGAAGAAAGGCTGAGAGCTTTCGCTCAAAAACCACAAATCATAATAGAAGTGCAAGTTGTGGCCATAACGATGTCGTGGATCAATCTACAGAGAAAGAAAACGAAGAGTCAATTGCTACATCATACGAAAATTTAGCTTACATGAAAGAAAATCACTTATTTGCCCAACTTACAGCTTCTAGCCAATGCTGCAGAGCCAATTTTTGAGCTTTTTCATCTTTGGACAATCCTTTTCCAACCTTAGCAGCTCTTGTACGTGCTCTAGCCCATCGAGAAACAGCAGTTTCGGGCTTTTCAACGTTGAAAAATGAAACAGAACTTCTCTTCAAAGCTGCAAAATCTAATGCCTTCCACCTACATACATGTACGATATTTGTTCAATAAACATAAAATTGAATAGAAAACATGTACACAAACACAGATATTGAAATGGAACAGGATTAATTATCATAACACCAACCATAATTCTTCTACAACAACAGCACAATCAGCTAGATTTCTTCTAGTCCTGTAACTCTTGTATACTTTTTGAAGCTTAACAGCTGCAGCATCGAGTTCACAAACAGGTCGGGGTGAAAACATGAGAGCAGGTTCAGGAAGGGCCACAACAGAATCTTGAACTTGAACCAGATTTTTGAATGACAATGTTGTGTGTAGCATAAGTTTTAAAGGCTCGCAATTTGTTACATTTATCGAATTCTTCTTCGGCTTCGTGATAGTTTCTGACTCTGTTCCTTTAAAACTGTTTGTTCTTATCACTGTCATCTTTCAGTTAATCTTCTTTACAAATATAAGATACAACACAAGAACAAAGGAAAACTTTGAAACTTTTTTTCTATGCTCTTTAAAGATCTTCACGAAGATATACAATCATGGTGGTTATATATATATATATATATATATATATATATATATATATATATATATATATATATATATATAAAAGAAGATTCAAGCGTGGAAATGTGGAAAAAATAATTTAAAAAATAATTAAAATTAGCAAGTGGACCAGAGAACTATACTGTAACTGCTCTTTTTTTTTGGTTCCCATTTGAATAGACTTATTTTTATTAGTTTAGCTTTGACTTATAAATACTTTTAAATTTGGTAAAACCATTTCAAAAGTATTTAATACAATTATTTTGATTTAAAAATATTTAAAATAAATCAATTCAAACAGATATTTTTAAATCTACCGTACGTACTGTGAACAGTAAATTGGAATTTGGAAAAAGATATTAACAAACAAATTTTTAAACTTGGTAACCCACGAGTTGTTTGATCAATTCAAAGTTATGAATTTCACTTTTTCTAACCCAAGAAAAGAGACAATTTTAAGACTTTCTTGGAAAAATTAGGTGGTCAAAGAAAGTAAGCTCTAGGAGGTTTCTTCCATGTAACCCAGCCAGCCACAAAGACTTGTTTTCCCCTAGAAAGAAAGAACAGAATTTTTTTTTTATAATTTTGTAGCAAAAATTTTCTGTTCAAATTCTGAATTTCACATTGAAGTTAAAATTTCAATCGTGAAGCGTGATAGAGTGACAAATATTTTTTATTCTTATTCAAAAATTTCAAATTCAAATGTCCTTAATACGAAATTATATTTATCAGAAAACATTTTATCCTCCAATATAGAAACTAATCAATATATAAAACATTTTACCCTCTAATATAGAATTAATTAACATATATTCGAATCGAATCAAGCTCCGGTATTAAAAAAATCCTAACCGTTAAGTACTTATCGAGAAGGGTCATGTTAACGCGCCATAAATAACTAAACTGTGACGTGTCGACGTGTTGTTTTTGTTTATCTCCATCTGTTTTTCCTCATCTTCTAATGTGATGTGAAAACAACCCTGGCCCTAACTATGTTTTTATTTATAGATTAGATATATCATATTTTTAATCAATTTATTTTTCTAATAATAGTTGATTGCATCTACTAATTTAAAATGTGCAATTTGGCTGAGTAAAAAATATAAAAATGAATTAGGATATTATTAGTAGGGCATGGAACAATTCCAAAAAAAAGATTTGTTCTAAACTGGAAAATGTGAACATAATTATTCAGATTCATATTTGGTAAACCTTTTTCAGTCTTTCTATTTTTACATGTGTTCTCACTAGCTCAAGTACTATCATATTGTATTTTATGCATGAAAGTTCTTTTAGCACGTGAAACAACATTTTTCAAATTCCTTTGAATTCTGTAGTTATATCGTACATGCAATATACAATATCTTTTTATTTGTTTAAGGGCGCGTTTAGCTATGTAAGAAAAAATAAATTGTAATTGTGATATATAAATTGTATAAAAAGTTTTATTTGAACATTTAATTTTCAGTTTTAAGTAAATTTTATTTGCTCATAAACATATAAATTTTACAAGTTGTGAAAATCATTGAAATTGTGCCCATTATTTTAACACAATTTTACTAATAAACAATATTACATAACAAAAGTATAATACACTATTATAAAATTATTCTAGCAAAGATACAACATTAATTAAAAATTATTCTAAAAAGATACAACATTTTTTTATCAAACTTTAGTTTAATAGAAATCTAAAATTAAATATGAGTTGTAGAAAACTATTCTCTAATAAAATTGAACATGATTAATATCATTAATAAATAATAATTATATATTATCATATTCATATTTCGTAAATATTTTATCACTCTTTTAATATTCTTGTAAAATTACATAATTTATTTTTATAAAACATAAACTTCTAGATAAAGTTTTATAGGTCAACTATTGCGCTTATTGCTGGAGTTCTATGTCCTTGGGATAAGGGCTATTATATTTAATCTCCTTGTATGATTTTGTATAACTTTCTCTTGATGAACTAATTTTTAAAATTGAGTTAAATATACAATTAATTTTTATTATGTAATTAAAATAACATTCATTCCAAATATCATTTTCAATTAAGCACTGTGTATTAAAATACTCATATATATTTTCTGTTTGATATGATTTGAGCAACTTTTATCTCATACACTAATTTTTGAAATTCACCCGGAGATATGTTTGAAAATTAATGGTATTAATGATAGTCAAAATCAAAAGAGAGATTGGTCATGAGTCAATGCAAAATTCTGAGCATTTTGGATTATTAAGATATATTTATAAAAAAAAATTAGGCAGTAGGAGTTATGTTAGGGCTGCCAGCCGTATTTTGAGGATTTGGGAGAGTATATGAGACGTTAAGCATCGTTGATTATTTTGGTCGCATCCCAATAAACAAATTAAATATATTAAAGTATTTATGATCTAAATTTAATTGGCTTAATATTCAGATTTTTTTCCACTTAATCCAAGCATAATATAATTTGAGATATTTAAAATATTGAATCTAAACTTTTTGAATCATGTATATTGTTAGTTGATAAATTTGAATCAATTGTTGGATTTTGAAGCTCAAATTGTTATTACACGATGAGATTTAGATGGTGAAAATTATATTAGAAAGTTAATCCCAATATTATTGAATATAATTTAAAAAGTGGCTTAAGTTTTGATTTTTATTTTTTGTAACAAATTTAATACTTGATTAAAATAATCGTTAAAATGGGGTATATAGAAATTTTGAAGTTATTTGATGGATAAATAAAAATCATAACTAAAGATCATAGAAAAGATTTCCAATTTAGTTAAAATATACTGCTATACACTTTTATACAAAGTGAATTCACTTTAATATATTATTACACAAAGTAAACACATTACTTATAAAAATATTTTATATATAGTTAAAATAGTTGAGTGTTCTTATTGGACGATAATCATAAAAGGGAACAAGAACAGAAAAATCAACACCAGAAGTGACCCCCCATCTTGGAGAGGCGAAATAAGCGAAATCACAGCTACTATATAAATTTATATATATATATTTGGTGTTAAATTCTATTTGGCTATCTGGTTTTTAATAATTATGAAATAAAAGAGAATGATTTTTTGACTATAAGATCCAAAGAAATTACCTTATTATAAAAATAAGGAATAATGTATAAGAATCTCCTTAATTTGTGCTCGAAATTTCAGAGACACACTTATACTATATTAAAATCCTATTATCCCACTGAACTAATTTTATTAATAATTTTCTATCCATTTTCGGCTTACGTGACATTATCTTGTGAGCACAATGTTGATTGACTTTTTTTAAAACTAGTGTCACGTAGGTCGAAAAGGTGTAAAAAAATTATTTATAAAATAAGTTAGAAAGTAATAGGACCTTAATATAGTATAAATGTATCTTTAAAATTTTAAACAAAAATTGAGATAATACTCGTATATTTTTCCTAAAAATAATAGTAGAATCATCGCATTGAAATCTTATCATTAAATATTTCTTCATCAGCTTTAAGCTTTCGCTATATTTGCCCGAAGATTATTGGAACAGGCCAATATATATTATATTTACTTTAATCTTTTATAAATCATTCAATAGTCTCTCTCTCATTTTAAGCTTTATTTTTTAACATATTTACATCTAAATCAATTGAATTCACGTCTATTTTAAATGTTATATGCAAATTTAAATTTTATTTTTTAGAGGAACAAATATATTTAAATTTTGAAATTCAAAAAATATCATATCAATTAGAACAAAGTGGTGTATATCGATACATATATTACTTTAAAATATTTGATTTAGGTTCTTATATTATTATTTTTCATTCGGTGTCTAAAACTCATATTGCACCTTCGAATAAATTTAGATCGCGCACTGCATGACGTATTTGGGAGTGATGCTTTTTTTTTATATATATATCGAGATCTCTGATTAAGGATAAAATAATTCCACCACAATATATTCGACGTGGGACTGAAAATGGATACCCTGACCCAACTCTTCAACTGCTTTCTACAAACAACAGTTTTTTTTCCTTCTTAGCAGCCTAAGTTGTTAAACCAATAATTAGAAACATTGATCATATCTTATAAAGACCTGAAGTAGACGGATTATCAACTGCAGCCTACCATCATTTGACTTCTTATTAGTTATTATTATATATTATATATGTGCTTTTATATTATTCTTCTCAATTGATTGAATCCAAGACTAGTTGACCATTAACCTCTAATTTCTATATTATTGCCTTCCACGAACCCCGATAGAATCTTTAGGAACTCACCAATGAATGAAACATTTTATTATAATTATAAACAAATTAAATTGCAAAGTGAATGGTATTAGGTAGACAGGGATCTATCGACTGTAATACAAATTTATCACTAGTGATTGACATCGAATTAGAGAACTCATTCAATAAGTTAAAATGTAATTGATATCGACTTAAAAAGCACATTCAATTATTTCTATTCATTTTCGATTCAATCGCATATTAGTATAACTAAATGTTTAGAATTTGAAACTTTGACTACTCTAGTTTGATTGAAATGTATTTGAGATTTAATTAATTAACAAAAGGAGTTGTTTGTAGTTTATTTGAACATATATATATTTCTACATTTTTAATGTGTTAGTATGATGCAATTGAGACCTTTTTTAATAATCGATATCATAATACTCTATAATACGAGTATATATTTCTCAAAATTGAACAAACAATCGTTGTTGATTTACCATACCAGAGAATATCAAAACCGAACTTCAAAATACCGTACTATACCAAATTAAATTGATATGTTAATAGTATAATGTTTCAAAAACTGAATACCTAAAGAATGGTATTGAAACTTTCAAATACTGTATTATACCATGTCCACCCCTATAGTTGAATTGCTTGAATTATTGTCTCTTCTTTATCGTGTAAATTGCTTATGTGCATTAATATTATTGTGCATCATGATTAAACATGTGATGTTATGTTGAAGGGAAATGAT